CACCTATGGTCATATATCTACCACCGTTTTTACACGCTCGCTCATTGCCACATTGAGTGTGGGATTTTGTCTAAACTATTGTTCTAAACTGAATGGTGCCTTATAATAGTCCTTCCAAGTATTTTGAAACTTCTAATAATAAAAACAGCATGCATCCTCTCTGCAGTAAGATTTTTTCTGACAACAATAGGTCATTGCATTCAGAAATGCACTAAGATATAATATGGCCCTTTATTCAACCCTGTTATAAATTTTTGGAATAGTAACAATGAGCAAACTTAAGAGGTATGTCACTGATAGGAAACTGAGACAATCAAATTCCTTTTCTCATGGCCATTTTGCTTGAAGGAAACTAGCGAACTGCGCTCAATCAAAAACATGATTCTTTTAACTTGACTTTTTCAAACGTTAAGGACGTTTACAGCTAATTAAACTTAAAATTTACCTTATGGTCTTTGCCAATTCCGCAATGAGTTCTTCAATTGTGAGAATATCCGCCAAAGTTGCCGTTCTCCTGAAACCCCAACTGCTGCGGTCAACAGTCATGCAGTTTTCCCATTTGTGCTTCTGAAGAATACCTAAAATTCTGCAAAGTAATGGACTGACTGGTAGAAAAGAGTGGTAAAAACAGCTTGAGATTTAATTTTTATTCCCTTAATGTAACCAAACTTATATGATATCCTTAATTTATAGGATATAAACATGTACAGTTTCAGTCAAACATTAATCTTTTCCTAGATTTTCAGTTGCCACATGAAGTTCGCTTGCTGGAAAAACTAGTTTATTTTCAACAAGTCTGCCCAATAAAGTCACTTCCTTTTCTTAATCTGCACACCCACTGCTGTTTCCGGAAAAGAATAGTTCCTTTTACGTGATCTTGTCATTTAACTCTCATTATGCGTCGAAGCAACGCCGCTATACACGGTTCAACTGCAAGTATTACTCTTCCGTGAATACAATTATTTCTATGGCACACAGCATCAATGATATGACGGAAGAAAAGAAAAGGCGGATATTTGTGCAAGAGTTACTCGTTTAAAAGTCAGGTTATTAAAAGCACTTAAGGCTAGGACGATCGTCCTATTTAATTGTAGCTGGGTGGTGCGGTTGTAGAGCCGAAATACTTAACCCGGTCCACCTCCTGAAACACTTCACCACTTTGCTACATTTGCATATCAACTGTGTCGAATAAGTCCTTCATAAATTCTGGCTGGCTTTTACAGCTGCGTTGCATATGGAAGCCGTAAAATGACACAGCTTGCTGCCCGTAATACTCACCAGGGCAGCATTATCTGCGTAGTCCAGGTTAGCAAAATATCTAGGCGGATACGTTGAATGGGACCTTCCCACTCGCGCACGTTCGATATTACAAACAGACATATTCCTGCATATATCTTCGGGTATATAGAAATTTTAATTACCAAAGTTCTCCAACAGATTTATCAATGTAGCTGCGAAAGATCGTGTTAATGAAAACATATTTAATATAAGTAATGCATGCAATTAGTCCGTTTGGTTACACAACAAAAATTAGTAGAACTTAACAACGCCACACATTTTGATTGTGACGATTACACCAAGTTACCGGCGTTTCAGATATCACGGCTGCACTTTACTACGCGGCTCACCCTGAAAATCGCTTCCACTCACTCTTACCGTTCTCCACAGTTTCTTTTCTGAAGTTTTGTAATTAAAAGAAATGTAGCACCATTACCTGGACTATATCTGTCGCTGCAGCTGAAGAAATCGCCATGCTTACAGTTTGCTTCGGCGCCCCATCGATCGTTGACAACCACGAGGTCTTTTACGGGGCTTAAATAAAACGCAAGAAAGATATCGGCCGACGGAAGCTGCCTAACCTCTACCTATCATTATAGAGCCACGCCAAAAAGTGCGTGGAATTCCAATAATCCGCACCTCCTTCCCAATCACCGTCGCTCCAAACGATGTCTGGATTATACGTGGTAACAATTTCTTCGAGCTGTGG